TAATGGATCAAGCTGAGTGGTTGGGAACGCTAAAATACGCCGGTAAGGTGCAGGATAAGGTTTCCGTCGACACTCTCATGCTCCGGTACCGTCCGATCGCTCCTAAACCGACGACTGATCAGACAGGAGATAACAACAACAACAACTACTCACGGTACGGTATGAGCAAACGAACCAAACGAAAGTACGTTAGGGTTTCAAAGAATAATTCAAGCACGTGTCGAGGAAAGAGCAGATCTGGCGTATCTGATGATCGGGAACACTCCGAAGTCGTGACGCTGCAACTCATGCCGGAAAAATCCGATATTTCCGGCGAAAACACGCCTTTAGATCAGGACAGTCTCGATCCGACGGTGAAAACGATAATCGGAGAGAAAGCACGAGAAACCGACACGTGGGGGACGTTTAACGGCGGAGTTACGGCGGACGTGGAGACATGGGTGACGGTAGAGTCCGTCACATGTGTATGTGACGGTGGTTCGAGCTCCCATGCGGCGGGGTGCACGGACGTTGAGATAGTGGACAATCTTGGTAAGGACACGTGTCCAGCTTTCGTATCGGATGGTTTGAACCGTGTGGTGTGGGTCAACGAGGCTTACCGGAGAATAGTTTCCGGTGAGGAGTCATCATCGTCGCCGGATGTTGTGGTGTGGTTGGTGGCGGACGAGTTTACGGCGGGGATGTGTTGTAACTACCGAGCTTTCACGTGTAGGGTGAGGATACAGTACACGTGGCAGGAAACAAAGTATACCAAAACGGTGCCGTGTGATGTGTGGAAAATGGAGTTCGGTGGTTTTGCATGGAGGCTAGACACAACAGCTGCTCTGACTCTCTGGCTTTGATGGTGATTGCTGCCTGAAACAAGAGGGTAAGATTTATAAGACTAAGCTATAAGTGATTTAAGAGTGTGACTAATCACTTTTAAACTTTGTTTAGGCTTGTAAGATTATATATAAGTAGCTAGGTTGAAGAAGGAAACAAATGATGCTGTTAAGAAGTGTGGAGAAGCTGAGAAAGCTTAAATATATAGAACATGCAGTAATAATGTCAAATATTTATTGGCAAAGATTAAACAAAAAGATGCCATTGTATGGTTTCGTAGTAATCTTGGCTTCTATTTTCATTTTTATCGATATATTCAAATACATAACAAATCTGTGTGTTTTAAGATATCACCAGTAATTTTACAGCGATTATAAATTTTGATAAATAGTCGAACATGCTATGAATAATGTTTTGATATCAAATAGCATAAAGTATATGTTAAACAATTATGATCTTAAGCTAAAGAATGTGTTATAGATTTAGATATGATGTATAATCTAGGAGTCTATATTGATTTAGAGACAAAAACACATGAACTATAGGGAATCTATTGAGTGTC